TTTTTTGAGACGGAGTCTTGCTCTGTCGCCCAGGCGGGAGTACAATGGCACAATCTTGGCTCACTGCAACCTCCGCCTCCCGGGTTCTATCTGTCTGTCTTCTATCTATCTTTTTTGTTTGTTTGTTTGTTTGTTTTTTGAGACAGAGTCTCACTCTGTCGCCCAGGCTGGAGTGCAGTGGTGCGATCTCTGTTCACTGCACCCTCCGCCTCCAGGGTTCAAGTGATTCTCCTGTCTCAGCCTCTGGAGTAGCTGGGATTACAGGCATGCGCCACCATGCCCAGCTGATTTTTGTATTTTTAGTAGAGACATGGTTTTGCCATGTTACCCAGGCTGGTCTCGAATTCCTGACCTCAGGGGATCCACAAGCCTCGGCCTCCCAAAGTGCTGGGATTACAGGCATGAGCCACCACAACGGGCCTGGCAAATTTGTGTGTGTGTGTGTGTGTGTGTGTGTGTGTGTGTGTGTGAGTGAAGGGCCCCGGATAGTAAAGATTTTAGGCTTGAGGACGTCCATCCCCTGTAGCCACTACTCAGCTCTGTGAGCTCTGCCACTGTAGCCTGAAAACAACTACAGACAATAGATACATGAATGAGGATGGCTATGTTACAATAAAACTTTATTTACAAAAACAGTCAGTGGGCAGAGTTTGGCTATGATCTTAAAGGACAATTAGTACCCTATCCCCTATCCAAATTGCATTAATAAATATTGGGGTTTTTGGTAAAGAACCATTTAAAAATCTCACACAGCAGCTTTCAATCCTGGTTGTACATTAGAATCACCTAGGGGGTGGGGAAACTTTTAAAAAATACAGTTGCCCATGCCCCACCCTTGGTCAATTTAATCAGAGTTTCTAGGGGTGGGGCCCAGGCATTAGTGCTTTTTGAAAGTTTCCCTGTGGGAAACTTAAATGTGCACTGTATATGAGACAATATTATTGGTTTAATGTTCAGTTTCTGTGGTGTTTTAATGGTTCTGTAGGTAGGTGGGAGGGAGATATGTGCTAAAATAGTATAAAGGATTGTGGTGTCTGCAACTGACTTTCAGAAAAAGAGAGTGTGTGTGTGTATGCACATGCACATTCTTATTAGAGAAAAATCAAATATGATAATATGGTAAAAGTTTAACAATTAGTGAATCTAGGTGATTACTATGGGGTTTTCAACATAGTCATCTTCAGTTCTTCTGTAGTTTTGAAGTTTGTAAAAATTGATTGGGAGGGAGGACTCCCCAAGTGATTGCAACGTGCAGCCAGGACTGGGAACTTACACCCAAGGAGATATCCACTCTTTATGGGGAGTTCTATTGCTAAAATAATATGATGCTTTTCAAAATACATTGTTTGGATGGAGTTTCCTGGAGTTCGAGTGTTTGTCAAGCACAATATGCCTGTAATCTATTACAGCCAGCTTGTCATTCAAAGGCTGGGGCTTGGGTCTGTGGGTTATTATGCTGGTCGTTCCTCTGTGCCCATATTGATTCTTTTCTGGGCATGAAGTCCTGAAAGGTCACGTACACCAGAGGACAGCCAAGGCAAGATGGGTGGAGCAGCCCCCAGCTCTTGGGAATTGGGACATTTGCCTGGACCTCCTTGATGATAGAGGCTACAAATGTTGAACCAATTACAGTCTGGAGATAAATGTGAGATTCATTATTCTTCTGACTTTCTTGGTCCCATTTGTTAGAAAATAGTGAGTTCTCTGCTCCTGATGGCATTTGGTACCTGAGAGGTTTTGAACAAAGACTTGCGAATTGAATGGTTACTTTGAAATGAATTTTTTTGAGGCTTTTAAAGGGACCTAGTTTCTGACACCAATTCACTGGTCATGGGACTTCGTTAGTGACACAAAGCAACAAAACATGATTCTGTGGACTAAAATTTACAAGATGAGACTGCTTCGCTAAGTTAACAAGAAAGAAAAATGTTTTTTCTTTGTTTTTTGTTTTGTTTATTTTTTTTCGAGATGGAGTCTTGCTCTGTCACCCAGGTTGGAGTGCAGTGGCACAATCTCGGCTCACTGCAACCTCTGCTTCCTGGGTTCAAGTGATTCTCCTGCCACAGCCTCCGGAGTAGCTGGGACTACAGGCATGCACCACCACACCTGACTAATTTTTTTGTAGTATTAGTAGGAAACAGGGTTTCGCCATGTTGATCAGGCTGGTCTTGAACTCCTGGCCTTAGGTGATTTGCCTGCCTTGGCCTCCTAAAGTGCAGGGATTATAGGCATGAGCCACCGTGCCCTGCCTAGAAAAATATTTTTGTTATTATTATTATTATTAGTAGTAGTAGTATGTAGAAGGCAATGGTCAGATTTTTTAACGTTCACGCTTAGATGTGTATGTGGGAATTTAAAAAATGTTCACACAAACAACTCTTGAGTTTTTCACCTCTTAGAAAACCACCAGTCTAGCTGCTGGCCAGCACCTGTGCTGTCCTGCCCTGGGAGCCACAAGCCTAGGGGATTGGTGGAGAGTTATGCCACCACCGTTTGGTAATAGAAAGTAAATCAGAGAAGGGAGAGATTTAGAATACTTTCCTACCACATTTCTTCAGCATTGACATTCCTGTGTGTTTGTGTATGAAATATCAATATGTTAAAATTGTTTCTGATGATAAAATCAGTATCGGTTCATTAGAATAGGAAAATGCAGAAACACATGTAGAAAAAAATGCCCCATAGCTGTACCATCTGGTGACCTCTGGAAGACCAGGCTTAGTGGATGCCTGGGGTAGGGAATGGGGGCATATTGCTCAGGAGCTCTGATATTTAGCATTCGTTGCTCTGTCTTCAGTGGGTGGTTAGGGAGCACCTGCGCTGAGCCGTTCCCAGGCCCCGCATGCATTTAGGGCACAAGAGGAGATGCGAACACCGGCTGCACCCAGCCCTGGTCTCCAGCAGAAAGGCTCTTCTTTCAGAAGCAGAGCGGAGGGATGCAACACAGACACACTGTTCCTCCCTCCTGTAAGATTCAACCCCAAGTCCCTCTCCTCTGAAACTGTGAACCCATTAAGTCAGGCAGCAATGTGTAGGGGAAAGAGCGGGAGGCTTTGGGGGCAGAACAGTCCTGTGTTAGAATCTCGCTCTGTCTTGCACACGTTTGGTGGCTTTGGGGTGAGGCATATTGCCTCTTTGAGCCTCAGTGTTCTTATCTGTAAAATGGGAATCAAAATAAGTAACTCCTCATGGGGGTGGGAGAATTTGGGGAGTTTTATATAAAGGGTCTAGCTGTTTACTAGCCACCTGGCACACAGTATGCACCTGATAATCACTGACTTTTTTTTTTTTTTTTTTGGAGACAGAGTCTAGCTGAAGTGCAGTGGTGCAATCTCAGCTCACTGCAACCTCCACCTCTCAAGGAATCCCGAGTAGCTGGGACTACAGGCACATGCCACCATGCCTGGCTAATTTTTATATATTTTTTTTATATAGAGATGAGGTTTTGCCCTGTTGCCCAGGCTGGTCTCAAACTCCTGAGCTCAAGTGATCCTCCTGCCTCAGCCACCTAAAGTGCTAGGATTACAGGTGTGAGTCATCACACCTGGCCTTATCACTGGCTATTAATAGTAATGTAGGCAGGGGTTTAGTTGTATTTGTTTGTTCTTACCAGGCATTTAGGGCATGTTTTGGGGTGGATGAATGGGTGGCCAAGTGAGTGAGTGAGTGAATGAATGAATGAATGAATGACAGGAGAAAGTGGTGAGGATTTGCATATCAGGCTGTGCCAGGCCTGTATGGAGAGCGGAGCAGCTGTCTGGCTTTTGGGGCGGGCGCTCCCCCAGCCGAGATGAGTGCTGCATGTTTCCCTGGGCTGGAGAAAAGCCATTTGGCTTCTTTTTTTGTCCCTTAAGGATGAGCTGTGTGGCCCAGACCCTTCCCTATCGGACGAGCTGACCTCCATCCTTAATGAGCTCACTCAGCTGAGCAAAAGCGAGCACTGCAAAGTGGCCCTCAGAGCCCGGCAGGTAGGGTTTCGGGGTGCGGTCCCCATAATGTGCGCTTCCCCCCACCCTCCTGTGTGGCCCCTACTGTGCTCAGCCCTCACCATGCAGGGTCCCACCATGCTGCCGGCCCGTGTCCGAGCCTCTGCCTTCTCCCCTGGGAGGTTGGCTCACACCAGCCTCCCGTCCCTCCCCCTGCAGATCCTGATTGCCTCCCACCTCCCCTCCTATGAGCTGCGGCACAACCAGGTGGAGTCCATTTTCCTGTCTGCCATTGACATGTACGGCCATCAGTTCTGCCCCGAGAACCTCAAGGTGAGCCCGTCTCCTTCCTTTCACCTTCTGCAGAGCACACACTGTGGCCCAGGTGGGGGCCTCTGGGGAAGCGGCTCCTCTTGCCCCTCCAGGTGCTCAGTGGGGTGCAGGGCACAGTCACAGATGCAGGCAGTTTAGCCCAATGTGGCCAGGGCTGCCCAAGGGGGCACCTGAGGAGACTCTAGGAGAGGTGGGCACGGAGCCCAGTCCTGCAGGAAGGACAGTGTGACAGCAGCGGGGGCTCACCTGGTGCAGTTTACAAACCTTAGCCGTAATGGAGCGTATCTGGAAGCTGTGAGCCCTCCCATGGCTGAGTGATGGCCTCATCTTCCCTGTTTCTGGACTCTGGCTCATTTACATGCTCTCAGGTACCCCCTCAGTGCCTGTTGGGAGACCTGTCCCAGGTGCCATCATCCCAGAGTTCTTCGCTGTCAGCTCTCCCGTGATTAAACAGGGGAGGAACCCAGTGCACTGCAGGGCACTGATTGCTTTTAGTGGTCGAAGCATGACTTCTCCCTGTTTCTACCGCCCCCACTTATCAGACTGGTGATTAAAAAACTTACTCACTGACTGGGCACGGATGGCTCATGCCTGTAATCCCAGCACTCGGGAGGCCAAGACTGGAGGATCACTTGAGCCCAGGAATTTGAGGCCAGCCTGGGCAACATAGTGAGACCCTGTCTCTACAAAATATACAAACAAACAAACAAACAAAAAAAGAGCCAGGCATGTTGGCGCACGCTGTAGTCCCATCTACTCAAGAGGCTGAGGTGGGAGGATCGCTTCAGGCTGGGAGTTTGAGGCTGCAGTGAGCTATGATCACACCACTGCACTCCAGCTTATCTCAAATAAACAAAAACAAAGAAAAACCTGAAACTTGTTTACATTTACTTTTCCTTGTTTCCCCTTTTCATTTCCCATAGAAGTTAATAATTTCAGAAACAACCATCTTCGACGTCCTGCCTGCTTTCTTCTATCACGCTAACAAAGTCGTGTGCATGGCGTCCTTGGAGGTAAGTAGGAGAGGCCCAGAGAACAGCACTGACCGTGCCAGTTCTGTTCACTTCCACCACCATGCACCTGACCCTAGGCCACACGCCTTGTAAATGTGATCCTATCCTTTTCTATACAAGGTAGGTATGTTAATAGTCCCATCTTACAGAGGAAGGAACTGAGGCTCAGAGAGGTGAAGCGACTTATGCAACGTCACACAGCTAGAAAGTGGCAGAACCAGGTTTTGCATTATTGGGTCTGTCTCATTCCAGATTCCATGCTAGTCACCACTGCTGTCTCATGTGTCATTCCAGCCTCTTCCAGGCAGGGCACATTAAATACTAATCCCTGAGAGCCAAGTCTGAGGCACCTCATCTAAACTTTCTGACTCACCTGCATTAAATACCTTTGAAAGACTTTTCTGCTTGGAACTGCCAGAGCTAGAGGAACCCAGGTGACAACTTAAGGTGAACCCCCTGACCCCCAAGTGATGAGGTAGAAGGGCGTGGATGGTAGCAAAACCCAGATTAGAGCCAGGTGATCCAGGTGGTCTTACTCCTGGGAGCAACAATTCAGGTCTTCTTGAATTCAGGAACCAAGAGGTGGTGTGTTGGTTCCAGGAAATCGGAGTTTTAAATCAGCTCTTTTATTATGATTATTATTTTGAGACTCGCTCTGGTGCCTAGGGTGGAGTACAGTGGCACTATCTCAGCTCACTGCAGCCTCTGCCTCCCGGTTTCAAGTGATTCTCCTTCCTCAGCCTCCCCAGTAGCTGGGCCTACAGGGGTGCACCACCGCACCTGGCTAATTTTTGTATTAGTAGAGACAGGGTTTTACCATGTTGGCCAGGCAGGTCTGGAACTCCTGACCTCATGTGATCTGCCTGCCTCAGCCTCCCAGTAAATCTGCCCTTTTAGAATCCTTTTAAGAAAACATGAGATGATGTCTTGTGTTTTAAACATGGCCCTCTTACCTGGGACTGCTTTGCTGGCAGTAGTTTTTCCAATATTCTTTATCTTCTGAGCCCAGTCTCAGTCCTCTGTTGCCCCCACTTTCTCTTCACGGGCATCCTTGGGAGCCCGTGAGTCACACAGTGAGAAGGTTTACTGGGTCTTCATGGAGACCATCTTGGGCTTGTTAGCGTGTTACAGCCACAGGGTCTCCTGGGCCTGCAGCTTTTATCCTTCTATGGGTTTCACCTCTGGAAGAATCTTTCTCAGGCCTCGCTCTCTGTTTCTAACAGTGAGACCTAATACACCTCTTCTGTAGTTACTTTAAAAACAGTTTTTGTTTTGTTAGAGACAGGTCTTGCCATGTTGCCCAGGCTGGAGTTGAACTTCTAGGCTCAAGCAATCCTCCTGCCTCAGCCTCCCCAGTAGCTGGGACTACGGGTGCATGCCACCATGCTTGGCTTATAGTGACTTTTTAAAGTGCTAAATACTATTTGTGTCAATTAGAGATTTTTCTAGGATGCTTTTGGGGTTTTTTGTTGATTTGTTTTGTTTTTCCAACACGCCCAGCTAATTTTTGCAGGCGTGAGCCACTGTACCCGGCCTGCTAGAGATAGACCTTTTAGAGGTCATTTCTGGTACCCCTTCCCTGTAAGTGCCCTCAGCTTTTGAGGACACTCTGCAGTGCCCCCTAAGAGAACGTCCGTGTGCTTCTGCCTTGTCAGGTTTACGTGCGGAGGGGCTACATCGCCTATGAGTTAAACAGCCTGCAGCACCGGCAGCTCCCGGACGGCACCTGCGTGGTAGAATTCCAGTTCATGCTGCCCTCCTCCCACCCAAACCGGTATGGAATGAGACACACCCAGGGATGGCCTGTGTTTCTGTTCTCCCTGACCTCTGTCGTCCTGTCTCTGGAACGACCTGGCAAGTGTGTTTGGGCATGCTGCTGGGGAGACATCAGCGATAAGCGCTTCCCCTCTGGGAGCTCCCTGCAGCGCCATTTTTCTCCCCTCCAACATGGTGATAATGCAGAGCCCACCTCCTACACCTGCACTGTTCAGTACAGTAGCCATGTGTGCCTATTTACATTAACATGAATGCACATGCGCTGGGCACGGTGGCTCACGCCTGTCATCCCAGCACTTTGGGAGGCTGAGGCGGGCAGATCACTTGAGGTCAGGAGTTCCAGACCAACCTGGCCAACATAGTGAAACCCCGTCTCTACTAAAAATACAAAAATTAGCCGGGTGTGGTGGCACATGCCTGTAATCCCAGCTACTGGGGAGGCTGAGGCAGGAGGATCACTTGAACCGGGAGGTGGAGTAAGTGAGCCGACATTTCCCCACTGCACTCCAGCCCGGGTGAAGAAGCAAGACTCTGTCTCAAAAA